TAAAAAAAAGCAAGAGTGATTGAGAAAAATATCGATTATGTGTCTGAGTGATTCAATTTGGAAGCATAACTAACCTTCGCAATTCGCATTATCAGCGTCATTTGTGACGAATTGCTCCCACTAATTTGAAAACAAAAACCCCGAAGCATGTTATTATTTGAGTCATCTTTTGAAGAATGGATTAGGGCAAGATTTTGAGACTAATATTGAACAAGTTTTGATGGTAATTATCAAAACTAGTGACGGGTTCTGGCATTCGTTCCTGTCTTTCTTTCTATCTATATACAGCGTATTGGTCTTCAGAGGTAGGTTTTGTAATTTACAAAGGAGCAATTTTGAAACATCGGTCATCCTTGTTAATTTAAAAATTTGAGAGCGAAACTGAATACATGTACAAGAGAGTGAAACTCACCCAAAACAAAGTAAAAACAACTCCGAAATAGTTAACGCGCCACTCTGAAAGGAACCGGATAAAGGACAACTCGAAAAGAGGATATTATTAACTGATTGATTTAATTACTTTATCCCTTTTTCTGAATGTGTATTGCTGTGACACTCTGACTTCATGTAATTCGAAGTCATAACGGTCATACATACAGGAGATCCGAATATTTTTATGATATGATGACAACACGTGAAGGGCGAAATGTCTAATTCTGAAAGAAACTTTCAACGGATGAAGACTTATACAAGACTTCAATTGCCTGACGTGCTATATCTTAGGATGACGACAATTTACAGGGCAATTAGACTTTCACACCCTGAGATAAATTATCTCGGTATAACAAAATTCCAGAGTGTAATTCATCAAAGGATAAAGCATTCTGAAATTAAGATGTCTACACTCCTGGATAATTTAGCTCTTTAAGGTAGAGACAAAATTATATGCAATCCCTCTTTAGGAGCAGAAGAACCCCCTCATCGGTTGAAAAGAGCTATATTGGCCGGTTGTGTTCATTTGGTTGGTAGTGATGCAACCGTAACACGTGGATTTTAAAGACGTTTGTGAACCAGCGAAGTGCAGTTTAAACCCAAAGGAACCTCAGTTGCCACGAACATTCGCACTCTTTTGGTCCCGCTTGGGGCGAATAGAACCCTGAATGTAAAAGGTCATGCAGGCAGCTTCTGGCACCCCCCATGGCCTATTAGGATTTAACTTGGGGCCACCCAATCACGTGTTTTAATTTTTGGAAGAATTATTCTGAGACAGAAACACTCACATAGGTACTTTTCTCTGTGTACTCTAAGTAATATTTTGGAAAATATCTCCTGTAGATAAGTAAAATCTAATCCTATCGACGACCTTTCACTAAGGCACTATCGATTACAGGTCTCCTTGTTCATGTTTATTTTGACATCACATACTTACATGAGAAAAAGGATGTTTAACATGATTGTGAAGATTTACCAACGTTTAGTTTTTGGGTTCTAGATGTAATCGAGTTTGTAAGATCAAGTGTAGTTCTTAATAGCAAAGTTTAGATTAGACTTCCATTAACATTGATTTCCTTAACTTCTTTTTTATTACAAACATTTAGAGGTATCTGGGTCTCTTGTTTCAATTAAAGTTTTGTTTGAAAACAACCATAAAATAATTTCTTAACTTTTCATCTGCGTACGGGTATATTGAGTCACATTGCTCGTCTTGTATGTTAGCCTTTTTGAAATTGAGAGGCTAATTCTGGCACGGTATTTCTCTTTAAAATTAGCCAGTTTTTCAGTAGTTATAAATTTATATGCTAATACATATTTTACAGAGAATTTTCGCATGGGATTTTTTTAAAGATGTGATTGAAAAATAAATTGCAAATTCTAAAACTTTTCCCGGTTATATTTCCTTTTCAAAAGGCAAAAACCATAGCAGCTAAATGTGATCAAGACGAAAAGAATAATTTTCTCAAGCAGCTATCATGAAAACGCTGAATAATTATTGTTAATCTTGAAAACTGAATGAAAAATAAGCCCCTTTAGCTTATGGGTCAAATCGTCATCGTTTTCACGAAGAGATAGTCATTTTAAAAAATTGCATTCATTTCGATGTCGAATTTTCCACAATTTTGGTTTTAAGCCATATCGTACTTAGCCATTTGACGTGCTCCCGCAAGCAACGCGCCATTAATTCCTAACTTATATTAATGATGGCATGGGCAGACATACCTGTTGCTGAATTTCCCTTTCCTTTCCTTTTCACGAAGATAAGTGAACATGCCCGTCCCTTGAACATAAACATGTGCAACACTTATTGCCCGGAAAGGTATAAAGTAGGTCAACTGAGTTTTTCCTTTTACTGCGGGGCACGTACGTTCACCCCGTCCACTTAGTTTGTGCGCAAGCGCTAAAATTAGCCATAGTCGTTGTCACTTTCTGTTGCTTGTTAAAATGGCGACGCCAGCCAGCAAACGACTATACCAAAATCCACCTGCGGAGATCCTCCGCATTGTGTAAAGGTTTGCTGAATTTATTCCAGAGAAATGTAATCAGGCTTCAGATTTCATTCTGTGATGTGTTTCTTGTTAATCATAAGTGACATTTGGGAGGATATGGGGTGAAACGTGTCTGTGTACGTTACATTACCGAACGTAAAAAGGGGTATTTTAAACTCGATAATTTGAACTGTTCTCCATTTTTTTCCACACACGCTGCATATCTTAACAATTGAAGAGTGTTTGAAAAAGGTTACCATGTTATGTTTATGCTATTGCAAATTGTCCTTTCCTAGGCTGCATCCAAATCTCTTGTCTAGAGCTAGGTCTAGGTGTTCACTCCATCGAAAGAACGTGGAGACGCGCAGACAATATACCTAGCCGTAGCTCTGGAAGCCCGTTTCGGACACGGCCTTAGTTTGATCAATTTCAATTTTGGCTCTCTGTCCCGCCAGTCGGCCGGGATTTATGTGTGCACATTTGCACGTACATGAACAGTACATGTACACGCACTCGACTCTACCAACGCATGTAAGCGTATACATGCACTACCACGATCAAATGATTCTCGCGCAAAATACTTGAAAATACTGCCGATGTTTTTATTTGGTCTTAATCCGCCCCAAGCTGAAGTGCAACCCCAATCGGCGAAAGAAAGACAGGTGGTTACAAGTGGGTTCTTGCACACGTTCTGCGTGTACGTAAAGACCATACACGCCGGATTAGTTACGAGTGCCGGTACTCAGTGTGCTCAGCGTCAAACGTGAATATACCTGCACGCCTCATGGCGCGCCTATGCAGCGAGTACCGAAAAAACACGCCCTCTTTCGTCCCACTCGGAGCAGATACACTTTAATTATTAAACAAAATTTTTGTTCGTCTGGATAAACTGTATAAGATGTTTTAAAATTAGAAAGACCGTGGCGGTATTTTCTTTCAAATCTGATCGTGTCTATCTTTTTTAAAAATTACTTTTTCAGAATTTGTTTCAAACTTTGTGCAACTTGGTTCATTAGAATACAGTGGTTTAATTAATGTTTTCTAATAAATTTTTAATTACATGTATCTGGATATCTCCGTGAACTTCATTTGTTTGTATTTTGTTTAAATATAAATCCGTGAAAAAGTGTCGAAACGATGGCTGACGTCGCCTACCTCGAAATCCACAGTAAATTGATGGAGTGCGCATGCGCGAACTCTCAACTAAGTGGTGCACAAGGGCACGTGGGTGAACGTGCGTGGGGCCGGGCCGGGACACCCATCTTTGTTACACTCTAAACTGGGCCCGCATTAAAACATGTGCATTCTTCTCCTGTGAAAAAGGCACAAACGACGGGCGTAGATGTTGGAAAAGGGGGATGGTCGTTTTCACGAAGGGGACAGGCAACTTTACTAAAGTTTGACCAATTAACCACTACATTGAATCTAATCACTAGGTTCACGTAGACAATTTTCTGCCAAAGAATCATGCAAAAGTTTCCTTACCGCAAAACATGGTTGTTGAAGTACTAGTAGCTTTTGCAATTTCAATAAATCAGAAACTTCTGTTGCGATTATCTCGAAAACGTTTTCTTCAAAATGCACATGTTGATAATAGAGCTGTTGACAGCCAAACTAGGATGAATTGTCAATAAACTGTGGTAGCCCATACAAGACGGTAGGCAACGTTTGTAAACGAAAATAAAGATCTATTAGACTACTTTCCTGTTGCCCGGGATATTTGCACATCAAAAATCTGAAATACGACTACGCAATACCCAGCGCTCTGAAGCATGGTCTGATACAATAAAGGCGGATGGTGGGGGGAGGAAGAGGGGCGTTACCGTATCCCTCTGAAAACAGGGGGCAACGGTATAGGTTTTTAAAAGAGAGAAAGGCGATTTCATTGAGATTACTTCATTTTCTTTTCATATGCTGTGAATTATGCCTCACCACTCGGAAAGGCCATAAAAGGCCACACGTGTAAATTCGTAAAATTTTTGCCCCCCCCCCAAAAAAAGAAATTAATTTGCCAGCCCAAAAATTGGTGCTGGATCAGCCCTTGATCAGTAAAGATCTGAGTGACAAACTGACTGTCTTGCATTTAGTGTGTGCTTTGGTGTGGGAGGAGAATGAGGGTTATTTCTGTCGCAAATCGTGAATAGAATCATAATGAATTCAGCATTTAGCTTGGCTTTGTGGTAGCCTGAGTTCAATAGGTTATTTTACTTCGGGGGGCAGATCTCATCCTTATTGCCACATTGCAAAAATTTCTTAAAAGCATAAATCCCTTCTCTGTTTTTAATTTTGTAAAGGAAAACGTAGTGCCGACTTGGAGTCGTATAATTTTGGAGCCCTACCCTTACTGTGTGTGATGTCAAAATTCTTTCTTTCAAAACCGCACAAGTCACTTATGTGGTCGATACTTGAAGGCATTTTTACACACTGCAGAGTACTTCTGTGATGACTTTCAGGCTAAGTAAAAAAAGTTTTTTTTGTTCCCACCTCCCCATCAAGTGTATTTAGGACGGGGGGCCAAGTAGAAAATTGCGCAAAAACTGACAATTGAGGGCGCACTTGCTCAGTCAACAAGTCACATAATCATACACCCATACATACAGCGCTGCATGTAGTGCACGTGTGATGGTTTCGCACTACCACTGTGTAGAATTACTGTTTTTTGCCTGTCATTTGAGAGCTTCCGTTAGCATCATGTCGTCGTTCAAAAAAGCTGCAAAATCTGCCCAGAAGACATACAAGGAAAGGTCACAGGTAACTACAGAAATGACTTAATTGTTTGTGACCAGTCATGGCCGTGACGCGTGAATGCGTTCAGTTGGCACTGCTGAGCGCGATACAGTGTACGTCGATGGAGTAGACAAGACTATTGCAAAGTTACCGTCGCCAGTGTTTCCCTGAAGATATATATATCTTTAAGTAGCTCCAGTGTACATGTGAAATTCTGTTTATTTAGTGGTTCTTAAGTAACCCCCAGACTAGCCCCATTAGTGTGGCACGGACTGTACTCTCACTCCCGATCCATCCTTAGCCACACATCCGTATGCGTAATTTCGTGTCGGCGTACTGAACATTTTTGGCGCACCCACTTATAATCGTGGGCGCAATTTCTTTTGCATACGAACATGATTCTTGACCTTTCCGTTTTCTAAATACCATTTACTGAATGATTTCACTCACGTTATTCAGGTATTTTCCAGTCTTTTTTCCTTTATCCATTCAATCTAACGGGCTCACTCTCACAATCGCCATCTTTAAAATAAGGTCGTTGACCCCTCATCGTCTCAACGGCTGTTCCATGTCAAGACATGTAATAAACGGACTGAGCGATAAGATACTACATGTACCAATGGACTCTTCCAAAACTTTGGCAGCAGTTTAGATGTCTTGACATGGAACAGCCTTTGAGATGATGAGGGGTCAAGTGATGTACCAAGTAACGTACCCATCGTACGTTATTTTTTCAGAACTTTAGGATATTTTCTCTAGCATTCTCCTTAAGAATGATGAATTTAGGAACTTTAACCCTAACCCTCCTCAATCCTTCACCTGTTGGAGGATTGAGGAGGGTTAGGGTTATGGTTCTGTTTAGAATTTTCTGCCCAATTTACTTGTACAGTAGCATTTACGTGGAGAAAATACATGTAGATGGCGCAGCCCCGTCATGCCCGTATGCCCTTTAGCACACATACTGTTTATGAGATTGTGACACTTTGGCTCGCGGAATCTTTCCTCATGAAGCAAATTACTTTTGTCAATAATTCCACTTTCTCAATCAGATCTCCTCCAGTCGTCCAAACTGATCCCAACATGTATACATGTATCTCTCTGAAAATTTTCAACAGTGGTTTGTGGACCATCTGACCGGTTAAATGTAGTTTCTGCCAAAGTTCATAAATTTGGGTAGGTAACCAGAAACACGATTTTTTTTTGTTTGGCGTTACAAAATTGGATGCCAAAATCAGGATTGTCCAAAAGATGCCTGAGTGGAGACACTGTAACCCTTCTATCCAAAACCAAATGCAATGATTGATTACATACATGTTGTTTTCTCTCTGTTGGTGAATGAACCCTAAGCCGACCAGTTACTTCAAAATTTCCCGAGATGTTTGTGGATTTTTGGGGGGTATCCGAGAGGGTTGCTCACAAAATTTGCCTGTGGAGTTAGGGTTAATCGAAAACCTTGTTCACTTTATTCAAGTTTTCCTTACATGTTTTGTTGCAGCCTGCCAGCAGACATAACCTGGGCTTGCTGGAGAAGAAGAAAGATTACAAACTACGAGCCAAGTATGTACATTAACATGTAGATGGAGTCTTACCTGAGCATTTAAGGCACACTTCACAATGTCTAAGGCTTACATGTACGTTTACATGTAGTCGATTTGAATAATTGGTGAATATTGGAACTTTGGTTGTACCCGATTCCTACAAAAACAGAACAATTTCAGAACAAGTGCAGAAGAAAAGAACAGCATGGAGAAATAAGTACATGTATGTTTGGGCCATACTGGCGGGCATATGGATGCATTCAGCTGCCTGTACCTTAAAGTTTAGGCCTACTCGTTAAACCTTGGAATACTTGTACCATGTATACCGTTATGCTTGGAAAACAATATTCTCTAACCGAATGAATGATTTTTTTCCCTGTTCCTATTCCATTCATGTTCACCTCTGTGTATAAAGTTTCGAAAACGCAAGTAAATACAGTATTCAGGGTTCAGCCCTATCAACTTCAGATGAGTCCTGCAATTTGCAATGTTTGCCGATGCTTGCTGATGACAGTAGAGACTAGTTTGCAGGCTGTTGAATGCATCAGATAAAGTCAAATACAACGGCACTTGCGGGCTTATGGATTTCTTTTGATTGAAGCAGGTTCATTTCAAGAGTTTGCCCTTCAGTGGAGTGATTCAGTGAGCCTTGTTTACTTGGTGCACGCCAAGAGCTTGGTTAAAATTCATGAGCTACATGTAGCTTGGTTAGGATTCGAACCCATTCCATCCATAGTTGTTGACGATGATACTCACTTCTACGTCAACTTCAAACTGGCCAGCTGACCCCTTACAAGCTGAGTTGTTGAGTGGTTGAGATACCTACACTAGGAGGCAGGAGGTCCTGCGTCTGAATCCCACCTGATCAGTGGCCTAGCTAGGATTGTACTAGTGGGGGGGGCACAAAGGGGGCACCAGCATCTTATGGGGGCACCAGCATCTTATGGGNTCTTATTGGGGGCACCAGCATCTTATGGGGGGCACCAGCATCTTATGGGGGGCACCAGCATCTTATGGGGGGCACCAGCATCTTATGGGGGGCACCAGCATCTTATTGGGGGGCACCAGCCTTCAGGGGTCTGAATTTTTTGGGGGGCAAGTTTTTGTTAGCCTTGTTCAATATCCATTCATCCCTTTTTCTGTTGGGGGAGGGGACCGGGAATTTATGGGGGGGGACATGTGCCCCCCAGACCCCCCTGTGGCTATGCCACTGCACCTGATCAAGTTTGAACAGGGTCTCAGAATGCACTAAGCAAACACGCTTAATAAACAAATACAGGGGGCTCAGAATGCACTAAGCAAACATGCTTAATAAACAAATACAGGGGTCTCAGAATGCAGGAAGCAAACACGCTTAATAAATAAGTATACTTTTTTGTATACATACTGCAGGAGTGGGTTTGACTAGCTTCCATGAGTTAAACTTCGGCCCCATCGTCTTGCTTGTTTCAAACAGCACGCAATATCATCCCCACATTTATTTGTCGGTTTCACCATGAAGTGACGTATAGGGTAGGTTTGGTCATCCACAAAATGATCTTCCATCCATAGACTTTTAGTGTACATGATATGTCAGTTGGTGGTGCGGCAACTCTCCACGATACGTCACTTCATGGTGAAACCAATAAATTGAAGGTCCCCGTTGTAACTTTAGCTGGCCAAGATGGTCTAATGGGGGGGGGTGGGATTTCTTTACTCTCGTTCACCTTACATGTATTTAGCCATTTTGACTGACATTGTACTTTCTTCCTCTTCGATGCCAGGGATTACCATGAAAAGCAAAACAAGTTGAAGAAGTTGCGTAGGAAAGCACTTTTTCGAAATCCGGATGAGTTTTATTTCAAGATGGTCAGCTCTCGACTTGAGGTAGGTATTCAAAGTCAATTTAATGCTTCTGCTTGTTTTTAATTCTCTGGGCCAAGTACATTATATCCAATGGTTTATGGTGTTTGGCCGTATATCAATTTATCAAAAGTTGGCAAGTATTGCTACCCGTTTCAAAAGTTGAAGTTTTCAGTTTAGCTGCTTGGGGAAAAGGCACTTCATAGCCATCAGAAAGAAGCATTTGTGCTTTCTTTTAACCCGAGAAGTTTTCAAAGTATGGAGTCCGTTGTTTCATGCAGCAAAAAGCATTCTTGTACGCTTCGTCAGTTCGCGAGTAGGCCAGCAACAAATATCGTTTCTTTATGAATTGATCATTTTTCAGTTTGTTCATTCCGTGCCAAAGTTGAAATTGGAATACATCCCATGTGATCTGACTCAGATTGGCCTCAAAAAATTCTGAAAATGCCCAGACATACCTAACGAGGACAAATCAAATTTCAGCTTCACGGGTGTTTGAACAAGAATGACCCAATTTTTCATTCAGAATACAATCAAAAACAGTAATCGATCAACGGCTGTTTGACTTGATGCAATCGAAAGGGAATGATTTATTGGTCAAACAGAATAACCATAAGCTCGGGGCTCTATCCATAATCTGGAGGGATGCTCTGGCAAAGTACAGTAGCCATTTGCATGCCAAATATTTACGTGATAATATCTAAGGATGGAGATTTGCTTTTAATTTGAAAAGCTTTTCAAAACTTTTCCATACTGTTTAAACATGTTTACCTCCCACCCTTACCATGAAATCATTGAAAAGTTTAAACACAACAAACTATTCACAACGTAAATACATGTGGTTGACGCAAAGCTCTGGTGATGAATTCATGACCGAGCAGTGAAGTGTTTCAAAAATCAGATTACATTTTACAGGTATCGTTTGCAATAAGAGTGAATGCCAGATTGCATCAATCAAAACGCCAAACCCCTAAAAGGAACGTTTGGGAAAATTTAAAAACGGAGTTAGAACTTTTTTCACTTAAACTTTTTAAACGTGTAAAGGTTCCACCCTCAGTAATGTCATAAGTCAAATGTATGCGGATGCTAAGCAGAATTTTTCCAGTTATCTAGTTTTAATTTATCCAGGCCCTGTAAAGATGATCAGGTTGTCTGTTTTGGTCAAAACGCTGACAGTTCCTTGAGCCACGGACGGGCGATGCATATATCTACATGTACATGTAGGTCTAATCTCCCATCTATTTCGTACACGTGGGAAATCTTTGAGACAGACTGTATGTTGAACTCAGCCGCTGCACATGGCCTACATAGGACAAATACTGAATCTCTCTGTGGTGGAACCTCAAGAGAGTTGCAGAATATTCAAGCTGGCAATGAGAAATGATTTATAAATATTCTAGAAGTGACTCACACAAGCCATGTTTGTGGCATTTCAATGAATATCATACCGTCGATTTCTAAATTTAGGTGTTGCCAAAATAATACTGTCGGCAAAAAGTTAAATATGCTCTTGCCGTTTGATGCATAGATGTTTTCTTTTGTTGATTTACCTCAGGATGGGGTCCATAAACGCCTCAAGAAGGAAGAGACAGTAACTGCGGAGCAGGAGAAGTTGATGGCGACTCAAGATAAGAAATATGTCAACTATAAGCTTGCTGTGGAAACCAAGGTAGCATCTCCGTCAAGTTTTGTACAATATGTTTTCAAAATATTGGTCCGTACCAGGTGCAAAAAATTAGTTGTGGATGGGAACTTGTGGTATAAGGGGAAATACATGTACACTACTTGTACTGCAAGTTGGAGAAACTTGGACAGGTTCAGTTCGAGAGAATTTTGCAGTGTTCCATTCAGTCAAACTGCTTGGCTATTTCTTTTATGCCGTTTATACGAAGTAGCCTTAACATCATTTTAGACAGTGAGTTTGATGTGCAGTGTGAAGACAAACATGATTCATAAAATCTTGTCTAATATGTTATGTCGATACTGAAGCCTCCTTTTTTCATCTCTCACGTCGTGGCTGAAAAGGATCCACCTTCAGATTTCTTCATTTAAGAGCTTGCGATCGTTAACTCTTTTCCTAATCTCTTTTTTATTTTCAGAAAATTGAGAAGCTACGTTCAACCTTGCACCTGGTTGAAGAAGTAACAGAGAAGCCACAAAATAAACACATCTTTTTTGTTGACACGAAGGAAGAAGGTGAGTTCAACTGATTGTTATGACGAACCTGTCTGATCTAGACACAAGAGGTCACTGTGCTGCCTAGCAACATAAGTACAAGTGAAGACTTGGAATAAGGAGTGTAGTAACTCTAGATCAAGGAGGAACACCCTTACAACATCTCCTAAAAATTACTGGAACACGCATAGAATAGGGACTTCAACGTTGCAAGAGTTCAATGCTTTAAATAGGGCCTAAGTCAGTCGCAAAAGTGACCAAATTTTTGCTTATGTGATCATATTTTCACCATACAGTTGCCATTTGCGACTTAAGACCGCTTAAAACCACTTTAGAAATGTACTTGAACAATGTTGAGTATGCTTAAAAATTAAAAAAAAACAGTGATTATGTACTGAAAATTCGTTTCAAAAAAGAAAAAAAAAACCAGCTGCGCAAGTCGCACATGACTTTAAAGCATACCATGTGTGCTGTACATGTACATAGTGTACATGTGTCATGATCACACGCATGTGTTGGTTGGTTCCCGATCTAATCATACGTTGTTGATGCGCTGTATACGGACACCAGGGCCATTTTGCAAACCACGGCATGGGCTCCGTTTTTTGCTGCTTTTTTGCTTCAATGTAAATGAAGCCTGAAACAGAGCTTATTCCAGATTTCAAAGGTGTCGCTGTGATTTGGAGTGTTGGCGTGATTCATGCAGCAGGATGTCCCATGACACGCTGAAACTACGGAAACATCTGTGGCTGATAATCCCTTGGCAAGAACCCTGATTTATATGCACGTTGTGTGGTGTACGTGTGCCGGGCCGGATCACGATTCAATGACATGGACGATGTAAACACGGTATTTATACTACATGTGTGTACATACGTTCATGAATAATTCAGCGCACATGTTTATTCAACTTTCATTAAATTGCTGGCACCTTAATTTTTCCCCATTAGGAGCCAGTGGCTACCAAACTTTTTTTTTATGGTTAAAGGGTTGCTAGAGTTGCAAGCTTAGAACAGGTAGAGGAACAATACTTGCTTTTAAACCTTCATAGTGTAAGTGTGCTCCACCTCAGTCTAGTATTGCTCCACTCCTCGTTCTGAGAGTGTTCCACCTCAGTCTAGTATTGCTTCACTCATCGTTCTGAGTGTCCTCCACTT